CATTAACCACAATCTTATAAAAGTAAATAGTAGTTTACATGATTGGTCTCATATGCTCGATATAAAAGATCCAGAAGTTTTTTTTAAGCTTCTGATTGAAAATATAAAGAATATTATTGATGTTTCAAGATCCAAAGTAAATAAAACTAAAAACAATAACAAACCAAGGAGTAAATGGATAACTAAAGGTATTATAAAATCATGCAAAACAAAAGAAACTTTATACAGACTATGGAACTTGGATAGAAATAATGTAAAATTAAAATCTGAATATAACGCGTACTGTAAAATACTAAAGAGAGTTATAACACTTGCCAAAAATAACTACGAAAGTAAATATGTTAAAAAAATATCCAAAGATAGTAAAAAAATGTGGCAATACGTTAACACGAAAATAGGTAAAAAAACTAAAGCAACGCCTGTACTGGATTATCTAGTATGTAATGATGAAATCATATCCGATAACCAGGTTATTGCTGATGAGTTTATAACTTTCTTTAGTAATATTGGAGTTGAATTAGCTAATAAAATTGATAAACTATCGATTGACATAAATAAAAATGTTAAGCATAACCCTAATAGTATGTTTCTTACTCCAACTAGTTATACTGAAATTGAAAAAATCATAAAAGAAATGAAAGATAAATCGGGTGGTGTAGACGGCATTAGCAGTAAGATTTTAAAAATTATAGCCAAAGATATTAGTATACCTATAGAGCATATTTTCAATATATGTATAAATAAAGCTATTTGGCCCTCTGTACTTAAAAAAGCTGATATTATACCTATACATAAATCCGGGGACAAACACTTAGCAAGTAACTATCGGCCTATTTCTCTAATCTCAAACCTTGCTAAAATATTCGAGAAAATAATATATATATCCGGTTTTATGATTTCTGTAGGAAAAATAGTTTAATTTCTCCGAACCAATTTGGATTTATGAAAAGTAGAGGTACCAGTGATGCTTTAACTCTTACATCAGATTTTATTTATAATTTATTATTTCTAGACCTAGCAAAAGCGTTCGATACTGTAAATCACGAAATACTACTAGATAAGATCTGGAGGCTTGGGATTAGAGGAATACCTTACCAATTACTTAAAAACTACCTTTACGAAAGGGAACAATGTGTAAAAATTAATAATTGTATTAGTACAACAACTAATGTAAAAGTTGGTGTGCCACAAGGCACAATATTGGGTCCTTTGCTGTTTATCATGTATATAAATGACATCTTCAATACTCTACCGGAAATGGCTCTCGTAGCCTATGCTGATGATACTGCAGTGCTTTGCTCTGGTAAAAATTGGAATGAAGTTAAAACACGACTGAATAGATGGTTAGAGATACTAAATAAATGGCTACGAAGTAATCAATTATCTCTTAACATAGACAAATCAACATACATCACTTTTGGCAGTTATTGTGATAGTATACCTGTCAATTATATACTAAATATAAACAACAGAGAACTCACAAGAGTAGATCACAGCAAATATCTGGGTCTGTACTTTGATACACATATGAAATGGAATTTTCATGTGAACGAGCTGGCCAAAAAAGTCAGATACTTTGCTTTCCTCTTTTTCAAATTGAGTAAATGGGTTGACATAAAAATCTTAAAAACTATATACTATGGACTTTTCGAAAGTGTAATCAATTACGGAATAATTGCCTGGGGTGGAGCCTACAAAAATGCTCTGCAGCCTATAACAAATATGCAAAACCGTTTATTAAAGTTCTTTGAAAACAATTATGAAACTAATTTGCCACTTGACATCAAGAAAACTTTTATTGTTAAAACAATAAAATCTAAAATCCTGGATAATTAACTTATCAATATAGTAAATTTTAGCTATATATTAAGTGATTAATTTTTGCTCTTACTTGGTATAATTTATAATTTATATGTATAACTTTGTCACGCAATATTTGGTGTAATATACTATTATCCATGCTAGAATATTTATAATATTAGGAAATAAGCTGTTAAATATATTGTATTTGTAATGCCCTGGTTCTATGCACAGATGTTAAACATCTCTATAGACTTGTACCAGATGAAATAAATAAATCAAATAAAAAATAAATAAATAATTTTGTTTTGGCTTCCATTATTCATATATGCATGTAATGTGTTTCATATAATAATAATGAATAAAATACAAGTGAATTGTGCATGGAATGGGCAATAATGCTCAAAAGTTATATATCTATATACAAGTATACATATAAATCACGTGTCACGATGTGTCCGGGGTTATCTCCTAAGCTACTGAACCGATTTTAGTTTAGCACACTGTGTCCAGGTTGACCCAACATAAATGGTAGGATAGTTGAAATCTCAAATTTTACAATTTATAAAAAAATATATTTAAAAATATAAGCATATTTTTAAAATAAAAATTTAATAAACTTTTCATTAAAATGCCAAATGAAAAATTCATTATTTTTTCCATTAACAAATTTGTGTATGAATCATTTTCTATATTAAACCTAAAGTACAATTCCTTGGATTCTTATACCGGCAATTACGTGTTCGCCATTATTCGTTAATAATAATATTTTCACTGTATTAAATAATTTATTGTATGTGTAAAAGTACCATATTTAATGTATTGTATATCATAGTTATAGCATCGATAATCGAATGTACTATCTATAATATAAAACTGAATCACTGAATGTGTTGCTAAGCGCAAATCTCGAAAACCGATGAACCGATTTCGCTAATTCTTTTTTTAGAATATTGCTTGAAGTACGAGGATGGTTCCTACACAGAGAAAAAAACTGTCAGAGAAAGCTTAAAAACAGCACTTTTCTATACTCCCATACAAACGATTCGTAATCTTATATTATATATGTATATAAAAGAGAGTCGTGTTAGTTACAATATTTATAACTCAAGAACGGTTTATCCAATTTGGCTGAAAATTGGTGGCGAGATATCGTCTATTTTAATCATTCGCTACTGTTGTTAATGAAAATGAATACGTAAATTATCTATATATACTTGGAATGACAACACATAATCTTCGGTTGAAAATTATTAAGAGTAATTTCAATTCACCTCCCTTATGCTTTGGTATACGTTTGGTAATCAAAAAGATTACAGGAAACGTTATTGTAGCAACCATTGTGACTTGAAAATTTAATGGAGAAATGATCCTCTTGCCACGATTCCAATAATACTGTCAGAATTTAAAAATATTTATAATTTAAAACGATATACACATAGCCAATATAGTCTGCGTTCACCCGACACATTTTTTTAAGTGAAGTAAAAACACAATGTAAATAATTAATTCGGTTCAAATTTTCTGCATGTATTTCTTCTTTATATTCTTAAGTTCAAAATACAAAAACAAAAATATATATTCCTATTTTCATTTTTGTGATAACGGGATTTAATTTAAGAACAAGTAAACATAGTCACCATTAAGTCTGCGTTTAGCTTTAAAATTAGTTACAAAAGTATTAAAAATGTGCGACTGGGAAAATACGGGCAATTAATTAATTTTGTCCGTGTACAATAGTGCTGAAATTGGCTGGAAGTTTGGGGCATTTCGTATTTGGTTGCAGTTAGTATATGAAATATAACTTCTATTCTGAAATCTAACTCATAGTATACATATTTTATTATTATTAAATACTTACATTAAAATGAAATCAACACTGGTGTTATTAATATTACCGTCAAAGTCGGTATATTTAATTGTGGGGAGTAATTTTCAAAAATTAGTAAATTAGTGCGATAAAATTTGATTAGAGAACCACATTTCCGAACAAACGATGCTCTTTCAATATAGTCTATGGCTGTGAATGACGATGACATTCGTTACGCGCATTTTTTAAAATATGCAAAATTAAATGTAATTTTTCGATCTTTCTGAGACATTTTTTTAATATTATTTTCCGTAAGAACCTTCTACAGAGTATTAGAAAATCCAAAAAAAAAACAGCCAAATCGGTCTAGCCGTTCTCAAGTTATGGCGTGACAACGGGAAACGGGTTTCATTGTTATATATATAGATATATCACTTTTTAAACGATATTGTTCAGTTCTTTGATTTTTCCAAAAAAAATCGACTTTATATCGACTATATATAGATGAGCAAATTCAATGCGCTTTCGCCTGTTTACAAGTGAAATATATGTTTTCTTTCGAGCGACTTTACCATGATATCCAGCTTTTCGTAAAATTTTTCTAGCAGTTTTGGCACAAATTGTTTTTTTAATGTTATATTTACGTTTTCAATAATCTTTGTGGGCGCCATTCGAGGGTTAACTTTCACCATATTTATAATTTTCCGTTCTTCCCGGGCTGATAATATTTTCGGACGGCCAGGTTGCGGTCTATACGTTAAATTTCCGGGTTTTTTTTTTTAATTTCTTACGACGTGCTGGACAAAGAATACGTTCTTCCAATAGTTTGCCCAATTTTTCTGAAACTTTCGTCATCTTCCTACAACTTAATGAAAATTTTTCTTTCCGCCAGACTAATTTCTTTTCCTTTGGTTTCCATTTTTTTTAATATTATTAAAACGCGTCACGAGCTTCTTAAACGACTTATTATATTAAAACACAATAGAATCTACGTAAAAAGAAGGAAGAAATTCACGAGAAGTAACGGTATTTCCAATTCAAACTAACTAAACGCAGACTTTCAGGTGCCTATATTTACTTGTTATTACACTAAAATCCCGTTATCTCAAAAATGAAAAAAGGAATACAAAATTTTTGTTTTTGCATTTTGAACTTAAGAATATAAAGAAGAAATACATGCAGAAAATTTGAACTGATTTACCTATTTACATTTACTTCACATAAAAATATGTGTCGGGTGAACGCAGACTTTATTGGCTATGTGTATATTATTGTTAAAAATTAAGAATGATCTAGCCTCTTCCATCAACCAACTTTTTCCACTAACTAACAACTTTGAAATTTACTCATTTGTTTCAAACTAGAATACAAAATTAATAAAATAAAAAAAATCAACATATTATGTTTATTTGTGCTTAATAACAAATCGAAGAAAATTAGTATCAATCATTTTCAAATTTGGAAGTGATCCGCGGGGTTATTCTTACACCGGAAATAAGGTTTTTGTTTTTATTCATAAATACAATATAAATTCTTGTGCATCAATAAATGTGTACATAAATATGTATTTATATAATCAACATTTCAGCTTGTTTCAGAATGTTACGATACAAAAATTTAGTTTTGCTCGGTCATTTTTTCTGGCAGCTATATGCTGGAGTAGGCACTAGTTCGCGTATATACAGACAGATTCATGGACGGACATGGCTAAATCGACTCAGCTCGTCACGCTGATCATTTATATATAATATATATGCTTTGTAAACTTTTCGACGTTTCCTTCTAAATGTTACAAAGTTCGTGGCGAACTTAATATACCAGTAATGCCTAAAAAATTATTGGTGTGCATCAATACAAGTTCCCATATATGTGTATTTAAATGGTTTATCAATAGAATTTTGTTTTAATTTCTCTTTTTTTGATACTATCTATCTTTCTTTGAATAGCCTTAACAACCCTATTGACGTTTCAACAGGAAAGTTCTTTTTTGATAATTATTTAAATATTTCCGTAGATAAAACACGAAGGCGTTTAGTAAAAGCTCGGATTCGTATATACTGGGATTAGGAAATAAGGAAAAGTTTTCTGAAAGGAATTCCAACGTATTGGTGATAGCATTTTGGACCTGGCAAAGGCCTTAAATATAGACGAGCGTCGTGCACCCTCAAAAACAACACCGCTATCGGAAAGTGTTGGGCGCGTCGGTAGTATTTTCATTGGTATTGGGCATCTAAATTAAACTCGATACCATTCTTGGACCTACAGGTAATACGACACGAAAGTTAATCTCTGTTTAGTTGCATATGTATAAGAAATTAAATAAAGGGACCTTTTGCCTGGCTTTGAGATACTACAAAAGAAGACATTTCAGTATCTTCGAACGTGAGTATGTAGAAGAGTATGGTTATCGTGTTTGCGTTTAAAATCTTATCTAATGTCATATTTTGTGTTTTGTATGCTACTTATCTTTCAAACTCTCTTATCAATTTCGTTTATTATTTAAAAATATATGCATACATACGTACATATATACGTGCATTTATATATACCATATACACTTCTACCTAATGACTTCATTTTCTATGTTTTTTTTTAATTCAGAGGCGTCCTCAGTTTTCCTGATATTCTCTTAACACATAAGGGTGCAATACAAAAACGCAAAGAATGCGAACGTTTAACCTCTGATCAAAATGTCAGCAATGAACAAATGACCGATATAATTCCCTATGTTGTAATGACTGAAATGTCGCATTTTAAAGAAGAATGTAATACACATATGAAGCAGGCGCTCAGATCATTTATAGCAGAGCAAATTAAGTTCTATTCCAATCCCGGTAATAAGCTGCAAGGAGGAATATAAGTTTCCATCAGGAAAATTTTTGGTGATGTTTTAACAGCAAATAATACATTTGAAGTCCACATCGAGGCAACAAAACGATGAAAGGTACGAATAACTTATTAGCGTTATTAAGATACATTTTATTCATGTTTATATATATCTGACACTGTCTATTTACATAAAAAATTTCAATAAACTCATTTGTCTTCGCCTTTTTTTCTTTCAGGCGTCCTCGCATTGGTCTTTTGAGTTTGCTGAAATGCCGCAAGTCTCACGGAGCCTAATTAGACGAATACGGTGGTTGCGGAAAGATACGAGTCGAGTTTGTGGCAAAAAACTAAGGAAGCACTAGTACAGTGTGACATGGTGCATTATCGTGATGAAAGAACCAAGAGTTGTTCGGCTATAATTGCAGCTATTTGTGATGAATAGCTGGACGCAAACGACGCTAAATTCATATACTCTATACTTACACATTTATAATTGTAGTATACGTAATTATTCGCAATATTGTATAGTTAGATGTACTTCACTTGCTTAAGTATATATTTTAAGTGTGAATATTTATATTAAGACTGTATATATGTATATATAAATATATATATGGTAAGCGTATAACTCCACAACGCCTGGACAAATTTTAACAATTCTTTTTTTTTAAATGTTCGTTGAAGTCCAATGATGGTTTCTACGGCGTGAAAAATTCGAATAATTTCCAGGAAAATCCTAAAACAGCCTTTTTCTTTTTTCCAATACAATTGCTTTCCAACTAAAATCTAGTATTGCTATTCAATAAAGTTCATAATAAATTACAAGCACTTACTGTTGTCAAAGCAATGTAGGTGTTGACGTTGAAGAGTCAAGTTGCACTTTATTATCGCTGCACAAAGTTCAAATTCAATCATAATTATGTATCAGTCAAAACAGTATGCGTGATCGCTTTGAAGCATCTAATGATGCGTTTAGTGATAATAACGGGAGCCCGACCAAATTGAATAGTCAAAAAATGTAAGACCTATTGATAATTAGTACTGATTTTTAATTTGATTGGTTTCGCGATATTATTTGTTTTGTTTAAGTTCCGGAACGCGACATAAAATGCATCAGTTTTCACGTCATTACATCTGTCAAACAAACCTTAAATAATTCGCTACTGTTGATTGGAAATAAAAACATAAATTATCTAGATATACTCGGAATGACATCACATAATCTTCGGTTGAAAGTTATTAAGAGTAATTTCAATTCACCACAATTATACAACGGTACACGTTTTTTAATCAAAAAGAATGCAAGAAATATTATCGTAGCAACCAATTTGACTGAAAAATTTAATGAAGAAATGGTCCTCTTGCCACGTTTTCCAATGATACTGTCAGTTATTGTTAAAAATTAAGAATGATCTAGACTAGACGACCCCGTCCACGCGTATGCTTGTTACTGCTAACAAATAGTTTGTTAATTTGTTAGAAGTAACAAACGGCTTACCAAAACAATAACTCTTAGGGTAACTGATATTGCTGTTTTGATTAAAACACATGCACAGGTATCCCATTCGCTAATACATGTAAATTGCAGAGGTAACACATAGCTAACATATTCGGTAACACATGAATTTGTTACATCTAACAGACTGTTAATAGATTCGGTAACCAATATATGCCATACCGCATAACCAAAACAAAATCAATAATATACAACACATAAAAGAGGTATCATAGAAAGAGACAGCCTGCCATAATTGTAATTGGGTACAGCGGGAAGGACATTGAGGCGTCTGAGTGGTAAAGGGTTATTTTTTCCCCTTTCGCTGAGCAAAAGTAACCAATTTATTAACTATGTTCGCACCGACACAAAATTCGTGTTTTCATAGACAAAAGAGGTTTTCACGCGAAAACTTGTGTTTTCATCCATACAAAATCTGTCAAACGAAAACACAGTTTTCGCTGGAAACCCCTTCAAAACTTACATTCCACCTATTATAATCGGTGCCTGTTCTAGTTTAATCGATATTATTAGAAGACATATTTTGCCAGCCCTAAATGTCAGTTGACAATTTGTATACGTTCCATAATTGGCCTAAACGTACCCTACAAGAAACTGCTGATGGGTTCACTAATACACTCACATTTGATATGTCAGTACTGTTAATTTGCATTTGCATTTTGATATTCAGAACTATCCACTGTTTGGAGAATGACGTACGCAGAGCTATTGAGAGAGGAGGAGATGGCATCAAGTGAACATTTATTTTTATATTTTCATATTTTATTATATTTTTGTTGCATTCTTTTTTATATTTAAGTATATTATTAAAACTAATTTTGATTAAAAGTTTGAAACTTATTAAAGAAATAAAAAGTATATTATCTACTGCGCAAAAGAATTTTTCACTTCTGATAGCGTTTCAGTCATAACTGACCATTTTCAGCTATGACGGATTTATGATCAGCAATGACTCAGAAAAAACAAAACAAACAAAAAGAAAACAAGGCTCTTAAGAAAATGATAGAAACTTTGTTCTGCGCACTGACAAAATTTTTTCAGCTTTGACTGTCATATTACCCATCAGATGACCGTCACTGTTCTTGAAGTATGTACCCTACAAATGTAAACAAATAGATGTGTGAACTGTCAATGAAAACTCATCGAAAACACACAATGTCGGTCAGAACGACTTTGGTTCCACAATCCACAAATTGTGTTTTCAAGAGGATTTCAATTCGGTGCGAACATAGTATTATATGTTACACGAGTGAACAATAACAAGTAGTTAACACGTTTACTAATAGTTACCGTCTTGCAGGGTACCTTCCGAAATCGATCAAAAATCGATTATTGAGATTTAATATCACGGTTAGGTAACTACCCTACAAGAGGGAGGTATCCAATTCTCTACAACATTTGTAAAGTTTCACCTATTACACCACTATATATTCAAAGATAACTTTTAGGTTTCAAATTTGAAATTCTGTTGTAAGAGTAGCAACTTTCATCATCCATATTTTTTGAATGCGTAAAAAAGAGATACACGTAACGCTATTCCATTTTTCATCAACAATGGCCGGCATTATTTGGAAAAAATGTTTGAGGTAAGCGCTCTTTCTGATTTTCTTTTAAACTATATTGTTTAATTTTGTTTTATAGCATGAAAAGGCGTTTATAAAGAACGTAAGTACTTGAACTTGTACTTTGACGGAGAAAAGCTCTGAACTGGAAATCTACTGGGATCAATTGTGTCGCTATTGAGACACGTTGCGTGATATTTTTCCCAATGATGATTCCTCATTTTCTGCTTTAAAGTTGGAAGGTCCAATTACTTACATTTTCTTGCCCCTCTAGGTTGTATTGCCTTGCAATTTGCAGCGCAAGGTTTGGAATGTTCGAAAGATTTTCCACATCGATAAGTGCATTTCCAAAATCGCTCTGAGTTTGGGTAAACGTGCTACACAGGTGGCTATGCAATGTTTAAATTAAATACTTATTCATTTACCTTGTGTATTTGTTAAGTGTTTTTAGATTACACTCAACCCTTTCCATTTTGTTGGTGTGTCGTCAAATATCGCAACGTTGGGTGTGCGGCGTCGAGAAGGCTAAGGGTGTGCTGTGTCGTTTGTGGAAGGTAACTGCCAACACTGCTATTTGTCATTTGGCATTGTTATGTGAGGTTCATTCACCAACACATGTACACATTGTTTGAAAAGTTCCTGCGCTCGAAATAAAAAAATTTTGTTTTTGTTACGAAATATATTTTTTTATTCAATATAATCTTCCTTAACTTCAATACACTTATTCCAATGATCCTTCAATAATTTTATATCACCCCTATAATGAATTTCCGGAAGCTCTGCAAAATACCCGTCTACGGCTGTAATAGTTCTTCATTCGACGAAAAACGCTTTCCACGAAAGAATTGTTTCAGGTTTCTGATGAGGTAGTAGTCGCTGGGAGAATAGTACATTGGCTTTCTGCAGATAATCAATGAACAAAATTCCTTTTGCATCCCAAAAATCTGATGACATAACCTTCTTTCTTTTGGAGAACCAGCTTTAATCCATTGCAAACGTTCTTGTTTCAATTTAGGATCATGGTAGTAGATCCAAGTTTCATCCATAGTTATAAAACGACGCAAGAAATCGGTTTTAGTCTGCTTAAAACGCTACAAATTATGCTGAGAAAGAACCAGTTTTTGGTGAATTGTTAACGTGCGCGGCACTAACTTTCCAAACAGCTTTTTTATTTGTAATTCTCCATGTAAAATATGAAGTACTCGTTCGCCTGAGATGCCTATGGCATTAGCAATTTCACACTTAGTCAAAGTTTTATCTTCACTAACAATATTATGTGTTTGCGGTTTTTGCACGTCCTTCGCATTGATGTTCTTGAAGCCTAGTACAACCACGTTTCAACTGACGAGCCCAAAATTCAATGGTGCGTTTTGAAGGTGTCGACTCCTTATACACTTCTAACAATTGTTGATAAATGTCCTTTGCTTCTAAACCTTTCAAAACAAAGAATCTAATCACTGCTCTGACACGTCAACTTCAAATGGCTTGTAGACAAAAAATTAATTGACAAAATGACATTACTTTGCAATATATTTTTTATCATATTCGTTAAGCAAATTATTTGTTATGGGTAACAAATAGGTAACCTTTTCGCCACAAATATATTTGGATGGACATAAACATGACTTTGGCTGCAATGTCCCAGATGTCAACACAAATATCGATACAAATAAAAGAGTTTGTTCGCAGCGCAAGATGCACGTATATAAGCAAAAGTGTCCTCACCGTTGGAAGAGCAGTTCGCAGCATAAGATGCACGTATATAAGCACTGGTGTCCTCACAGTTGAAAGAGCAGGATGCACGGATATCGCAGGTGACCCCACATATTTCGGAAGAACGGGATAGAATTAAAACTGAAGTGGATGAATTGAAAAATCGTCTCTAGGAGCTACAATTAAATCGGCCAATTATGTCGTCCGCTTCTGCCAAGATAAAACCTCCATCCTTTGATGGCACTGTTCCGTTCCATATTTTTAAGCTTCAATTCAAAAATACGGCATCTTCAAATAATTGGAACGCTGAAGATAAAGTAACTGCATTTTTCGTTGCATTAAAAGGATCTGCAGCGGAGATATTACAGACCATTCCAAGCTGCGAGGCGAGTAGTTATGAAAGGTGGATGGGTGTATTAGAAAGACGGTATTAGAGTGAGCATAGGAAGCAGATCTTCCAAATGGAGTTGCCATATCGCCGCCAGAAAGCTAACGAGTCGTTGCAGGAGTTTCTACAGAGATTGAGAGGTTAGCTCACTTAGCTTATGCACATAAATCCTTGGAATACAGGAGAGGAGGGGAGAGAACACAAAAATACAGACCTTCGTCAATGGAATACGTGATAACACTACACGCTTCGCTGCGTTTGCATGTCCAAAATTGTTTTTGCGGAAACCGTTTCGTATGCTCTGACAACAAAGTGACAACGGAGGGCAGTTGCACAGCTAATGAAAAGATAGAGACAGTAAAGGACTGGCCCACTTATAAAGATTCACATGAATTGCGGAGTTTCTTTGGACTGTGTACTTATTATCGACAATTCGTTTAAAATTTTTCCAGCATAGCTAGTATCTTCCATGAACTCACGAAAAAGAACAGAGATTTTGAATGGAATTAAGAACAGGAGGTGGCTTTCCAACCTCTGAAGAAACGGTTAAGTACTGCGCCAATGTTAGTAGGAGGCGTTCCATCACAAGTCATTGATGGGCATGAGAAAGTGGTTGCGTATTACAGCCAGACAATAAGCAAGCCAGAGAGATATTATATTATTGTGTAACTCGGAGGGAATTACTGTCGTTGGTGAAGAAAATAAAATATTTCGATTACCAGTGAGGACAGGTCATGCAGCATTAAAATGGCTTCTACAATTCTCAGAACCCAGAAGGACATTTGGCACGGTGGATTGATGGACTCGAAACTTAGGACTTCTATATAGAACATCGCAAAGGTAGTAGTCATGGAAATGCTGATACCATGTCCCGCCGTCCCTGTACTTTGGAATGCAAATATTGCTCATAAGCTAAGACCACATTATAGATGTCCGATTAATGACTATAACATCAGACTGGGATCCGGAGATGCTACGGAAATATCAGCAAGGATTGAAGATGAATAAACGTCGGACGAGAGAAGAAATAGCTGCAGAGAGCCCAGTTGCAAAGGCTTATTGGGAACAATGGGATAGTTTAAAGTTAGTGTCTGTCTGCTTGCATCGCATATGGGAAAGCGAAGATGAGCAAAGTTCCCGAATTCTGATGATTATTCCGAAAGTAAGAATTTCCGAAGCTCTCAACGAGCTGCACAATGGTCCAAGTGGAGGACACATGGGTATCACTAAAACCTTGGAGAAATTAAAACAAAGATTTTATTGGGTTGATTATCGTCAATCAGATGAAGCAGTAAAATTCAGGTGCGCCATTTGACCGAACTGCCATCGATGTAAATGGCCCACTTCCTATCAGTAAATTAATAAATATGTTTTCATAGTCATGGACAAATTCAGCAAATGGTTAGAGGTTTTATTGAAGGCGATTGAGTATTGTTCTATAACCCGCAACGAAGGAAAAGGCTGTCTCCCAAATTACTGTGTAATTGGGAAGGACCATACCAGGTTATTAAACGACTCAACGATGTCGTGTATCGCATACAGACCATTGGAAGACCAAGGCATAAAATGCAGGAGGTTCATCTGGAACGGTTTGCAGCGTTTGGTACCGCAAATATGTCTAATCGGGACGATCATGGTGGAGGACAATGTGGCGAACACGAATACCAGAACAAATCAGAATCGACGATAAACTGTCAGAAGCAACTAGACAGCGAACTCGTTGCCAAAATGTTCTAGAAACGAAGTGTTGTTAAAGATCTACTACAAGTATATAAGCGCTGCCAGTCTGTGCAGCAAACATAGTTCTCATTGAAGTGTTGCCGTGTTAAGAGCAATGAAGCTATAAGCAATAATAGAAATAAAGGTAAGTGTCCGTTACAGTACTGTTATTGTAACGGATTTCTCGATAAATCGTCTACCTTGTAACTCACTCCTAAGTTCGATCACTGGATTGTTAATGGCTATACTTATATATATTTCTAACTCCAACAACTTAACACTTATTGCTCGTTATTCGAGCTTACAACTTTTTGTTTATGTCTCAATTGCTCTTAACACGACATCACTCCAACTAGAACTGTCTGTCTGCTGTACAATCCGGCAGCCCTTATATAGTAAATCTTTAACAAAAGTTCGCTACTAGAACATTCTGGCGACTACGAATTCGCTGTTTAGTTGCTTCTGGCAATTTATCGTCGGTGCGATTTTGTTCAATTTTCCGTGTTCGTCACAGTATGAACTGAATAATAATAAGTCGCTAACACGTTCGCTAACAGATACCAGTCTTGCAGGATAGTTTCAAGTTCTACATACCATTATAATCTCATAAACCGTGTGGTAGAAAGTCATACAAATATATATTTTTTTATTTCTTATTTATATATTCACAAACTACTTATTATTTATATATTCACAAATAAATATTAGTTTTTGCAATATATTTATTAAAATGGTTATGTACGGATAGGAAGAGTTTCTCCAGATTAAGAAAATATATACATTTAGCTGCCGCTGGTTTAAGATATTTGCATTATCATATGCATTCTATTACTTCAAGTGCGTGTTTTTTTGATTTATAATAATTTTTACCCTTATATATTTAACTTCTATAACTAACATTTCACTATATCGTTTATACATCTTTGTTTTATAATAAATGGAGCGAATCTAACTTTAGTTCTATATTTAACTTTGGTTCAATTCTTTTTATTGGCCCAATAACAAAAGAGTTGCATTCTAACATAAAATCAGTGTTACCTTATCTACTTATTGTGACGAACACGGATGATGGAACCAAATCGAATCGACGATAAATTGCCAGAGCAACTAGACAGCGAATTCGTAGTTGTCAGAATGTTCTAGAAGCAATGTTTCGTTAAAGATTTATTATTAAGGGGTTGCGAACTGTCGTGTTGAGAGCAATTGAGACATAAGCAAAAAGTTGTAAGCTCGAATAACGAGCAATAAGTGTTAAGTTGTTGGAGTTAGAAATATATATAAGTATAGCCATTAACAATCCAGTGATCGAACTCAGGAGTGAGTTACAAGGTAGACGATTTATCGAGAAATCGGTGTTAAGGTGTTGGAATTAGAAATAAAGATAAGTGTATAGCCAACAAATTGGGACTTTTGTTTAACAATCCAGTGATCAAACTCAAGAGTGAGTTAAACTTGTAGGCAGACGATTTATTGAGAAATCCCTTACAATTGGTGTCAGAAGTGGGATTGTCAAATAAATTCCCAAAGAAAGAATTTTTTTAAAATGGCATCGTTTTGAAGATTCTACAAATGAAAAGGAGCTGAAAAAAGGTAGTTTAGCAGCAAACGGAGTCCGAATGACAATCACGGTTACGAATGGCTATGGAAGCAGAAAACATTGATGTTGACGAATATGTGTTTGGAATTAGAAGAAGAGACTCAGTGCTCGTCAAAGATTGTGGACATGAACATGATTTTTGCTGCAATTTCGCAGATATCAACACAAATATCGACACAGTTTAAAGAGTTACGAGAGGCTATGGAAGCAGAAAACATTGGTGTTGACAAATATGTGTTTCAATTGGAATTAGAAGAAGAGTAGTTCAGAATTGGAAAGTGTA